TAAAAAAAAAGCACGAAAATAAAAAAGCCCGTTAGGCCAGCTAAGCCCACGAGCCCGACCCGTTTAGCCCAGGACCATATGGGCTTAGGCCCGTCACGGGCTGGTTCACCCGTTGAGCCCACGGAGCCCGGGACCGCCAGAGCCCAGGCCCGCTAAGCCCAGGCCCGTTTGGCCCATTTAGGCCCGGGCCCGGGCCAGAATACAGCATTAATGTTTGTATTCCTAATGTGGATGGAATTCGTGAGTTGATTCTAGAGAAGGCCCACAGTTCCCGATATTCTATTCATCCGGGCGCCGCCAAGATGGATCAGGACTTCCAGAAGCATTATTGGTGGAGGAGGATGAAGAAGAATATAGTTGCATATGTGGCTCGATGTCTAAGTCAGCAAGTAAAGTATGAGCATCAGAGACCTGGTGGTTTGATTCAAAAGATAGAGATTCCTGAGTGGAAGTGGGAGTGTATCACTATGAATTTCATTGTTAGACTCCTACAGACTCAGAGAAAGTTTGATGCAGTTTGGGTCATTGTGGATAGACTGACCAAGTCGGCGCATTTCATTCCTGTGGCAGTTACCTATTATTCAGAATGGTTGGCAGAGATTTACATCCGTGAGATCGTTCGTCTTCACGGTGTGCCCGTGTCTATCATTTCTGATCGAGGTACACAGTTCACCTCGCATTTCTGGAGGGAAGTACAACATGAGTTGGGCACGCAGGTTGAGTTGAGCACAACATTTCATCCTCAGACGCACAAATAGTCATAGCGCACTATTCAAATATTGGAGGATATACTCCGCACGTGTGTTATTGACTTCGGAGGATATTGGGATCAGTCTTGCCACTTGTGAAGTTTCCCTACAACAACATTTATCAGTCGAGCATCCATATGGCTCTTGTAAGCACGTAATTTTTGACCCGTGTGATTTTTTAACGATTATATTTTGTATTCGAAGTATTTTTAATATTTATTTGAATTTATAGATATTTTTATCTTCAATTTTAGTTTTAAAATATAAAATTGAAAACACAAAGATATTTTCATTTTTTTTACCTTAAAAAATTGGAATTATTTTTATATTTAATAGTACTTTAAATTATTTTAAAGAAAAGGATTAAATTCTTTAGTTGTTGGACTTTAAGAGTTGAAACCCAAAATCTGGAGCCCAATTTCGGATTTTCTAAGCCCAATCCCTTAACACTAAGCCCCTTTCCATAAATACACACAAAGCTTAAAAAAGGGGGAGCTAACCTAAATTAAAAAGAAGAACGGCAGAATCCCACCTTTCTAATCTCCAAGCACTCATCTCCCCTTTACCCGATCTCACTGGTTTTCAACCAAAAAAGAGAATAACGAAGGAGAGGAATTTGAGGGAGAGTCTAAAGAGTGGGGAACGAGATAGAAAAAGCAGAGAATAGAAGGGAGGAACGAACAGAGAGAGACGGGAGAAACAACAGAACAGGGGATCGGTGAAGAAGTATGAAAAGATGGAAATCGGCCGCTGCTTTACCCTTCTCCTCTATACCATCCTTTCTTCTAGTCTAGCCGTAACCACCACATGTACACCCTCTAGACTCCATAGAAATAGCACCCTTTTAACACTTGAAATCAGGCCCAAAACCAGCTGTATTGACCCCATAAATCAGCTGTAAAACCAGCCTGTCATAGCTAATCAAAAATAGCTCCCCGCTTTAGCTCCGAAACACCATTTCTCTTTACCAATAAGTGCAGCCATGAAACCAGATGAAATGCCATTTTTATTCCTCCTTTTCAACACCCAAAAACCAACTCAAGTACAGTCCCAAAATTAGCAACAACGAGCTGAAAAACAGCCCAATTACCTAACACAAATCAACCACAAACGTGCTGAAATCAGTGCAAAACAGTTGCAAAAATCTGCCCGAAACAACACCTGAATACACAAGTTCTGTTCGAGCTCGAGTTCATCTCCGGTGGTCGATTTCGGTCGAGAGCCGTCTCTGTAATTTCAACTCAGTCTATTTATACCAAAGGTCACATTCTCGTCCCTTTCTTCCTTTTTTTCTTTACAAAGTTCTCTTTTCTAATTGATAAGATTCTTGGTATTGTTGGTTGCATACTGATTTGCTTGATATGTTGCTTGGCATACTGATTTGCTTGATGTGTTGTTTGGATGCTAATATTATAGTGGTTACTTCAATTCTCTATTGCAACATTTCTTTAGATAGTGCTGTTTGGATTTTAGTTATTAAGTTTGAGCTTCTAATCTAAAAGGATAGAATTGAACAAGCTTGTCTTTATTTATTTTATTCTATTTTTATTGAAAAGGACCTTGCGGTTCTAATTGAGAAGTTTTAGTTTAGCAACTGGTTAATGGATTGCACCGATGAATATGGCAAATAGACTATCTGGATTCTTGGTTAATAGCTACAAAAATATCTTTTAGCCTATTAATGACTTGTAATATAGATAACTTTATCAAGTATCATAACTACTACGTAATACACTTATCCCATAGTAATTCCATAGACTATGGCCTTCACAATAATCTCAAAATTAATTTTAGGAAAATCATGAACATCGTAGCTCGTTTTAGGCGCGATTAATAAATCATCGTGGCTATGGGTACGGTTCTCGTGGCATAGTCATGGTACATAAATCCAAATTCGGGTGTGTATTTCATGTGACCCGACCATAACTTCAAACAATAATAATAAAATAAACATGCTGTGAATCGCAGATACGGTTCACATGGCGCGATTCGTAATGTGTACAGAATAAATGAGTGCGCGACCTCGCAACTTGTTCCAACAAATTCCATAAATAATGAAAAGCGGTTTAAAAGGTTAAAAATGCACAATAGGTTTGTTTTGTACACATTACGAAGAATATGTGTACAATAGGTTATCAGTCGAGCATCCAGATGGCTCCCTATTAGGCTTTATATGGTAGACAATGTCGATCGCCGGTCGAATGGTTTGAGCTGGGGGAGGCTCGATTATTGGGTACAGATCTAGTACAGGATGCCTTGGATAAGGTTAAGATCATTCAGGATAGACTTCGCGCAGCTCAGTCCAGGTAGAAGAGTTATGCCGACCGTAAGGTCCGTGATGTTGCATCCATGGTCGGGGAGAGAGTGTTATTCCGTGCGTCACCCATGAAGGGTATAATGAGATTTGGAAAGAAGGGCAAGTTGAGCCCTAGGTACATCAGGCCTTTTGAGATTCTCCCAAGAGTGGGTGAGGTGGCTTACAAGCTCGTATTGCCACCCAGTTTATCGGTATTCAACGTGTCCATGCTCCGGAAGTATTACGTTGATCCATCCCGCATATTAGATTTTAGCACTGTCTAGTTGGACTAGGATTTGACCTACGATGAGGAGCCAATAGTTATTCTAGAGCCTTAGGTTCGTTAGTTGAGATCGAATAGTTATCCTTCAGTTCGAGTACAGTGGAGAGGTCAGCCCATCGAGGCAGTTACGTAGGAGTCCGAAACGGACATGCAGAGTAGATATCCTCACCTTTTTCCCAGCTCAGGTACTTTTCTACGTCCGTTCGAGGACGAAAGATTGTTTTAGAGGTGGAGAATGTGATGACCCGATAGGTCATCTTATGATTTAAAACTAAACTCTATGTTTCGAGGCCTTAAAAATCTCATTTTATCCCTCAATTTGTGTGCACAGTCCGGATGTATTTCCGAAAAGCTTTTGTGTTGAAACTTGATAAAAATAAGAATTTTTGATTAAAAACTTCATTTGAGTTGACTTCGATCAACATTTTTAGTAAACGAGCCTAGATTCGTGCTTTGATAGTCCCGGTGGATCCGTATCGAAATATGAGACCTGGACGTATGCCCGGAATCGGATTCGGAGGTCCCTAGTCTGAGTTATGAATTTTTGTTAAAAATTGAAATCTAAAAAAATATTGTTTTTTAAGAAAAGTATTGATGTTTGATCTTGTTGGTATCGGGTCCGTATTTTGGTCAGAGCCCTATATAGGTTCAATATAATATTTAAGATGTGTCTGTGAAATTTTGTGAGAAACGGAGTTAGTTTGACGTGATTCGGACATCTGATTGTGAAAATAGGAATTTCAAAGTGTTCTTGAGAATTTCATTTGATTTGGTGCTAAATTCTTGGGTTCAACTTTTAAGTGTTATTTTTATGCGATTTGATCGCAGGAGCAAGTTCGTATGATGTTTTCAGACTTGTTTACATGTTTGGTTTGGAGCCCCGAGGGGTCGGGTGAGTTTCGGATAGACTACAGAGTGATTTGAACTTGAAAAAAAATTGCTGGTGTAACTGAGGTTGTTGCAGGCCTCCGATCTTGCAATTACGAGATCAGGCCTCGCAATTACGACCTCTGAGGGGTTGGCATTTGCGAGCTTCTCATCACAAATGCGACATACAGTCTTCACATTTGTGAAATAAAGCTGGGAGGGGCAGTGATCGCAAATGCGACCATTTTGTCGTATTTGCGGAGATTGAAGTTTGCAATTGCAAACTTATCTTCGTAATTGCGAAGCAGCAGAGATGTGAAGGACCTCGCATTTGCGAAGCTCAGGTTGCAAATGCGATATCTGCAGCTGATGAAAAGGGACTTAGACGGGATTTTTCATTCATTCTTCAAATTTTCAAAACCTAAAATACAAGAGGCGATTTTCCAAAGATCTTTTCTTCCCCAAAACTTTTGTAGGTGATTCTAACTCATTTTCTTTCAATCTTTCATTACATTCCACAAATCTTCAACCTAAAATCTAAAGTTTTCATGATGAAATTGAGGATTTTTAGATAGAAATTAGGGATTTGATAAATTGGGGACTTAGACCTCAAATTGAGGTCGGATTTCAAAACCAATTACATGTTCGGGATCGAGGGTGAATGGGTAATCATGTTTTGGTCTGAATTTCGAGTTTGGACCAAACGGGCCCGAGTGTTGACTTTTGTTGACTTTTTCAATAATGGCATAAATTGAATTCTTATCGATCGTATGTGATTTCTAAGGCTTATTTTGAAATGTTTAGTTGGTAATTTGCTAGATATTGTTGGTTCGGATGCGTGTTTGAAAGGCAAAATTGTAATTGAGCTTTGAGTGGCCTTTGGAGCGAGGTAAGTGTTGTTTCTAACCTTGACTTGACGGAATTAAGAACCCTCAAGCTTTGTGTTATGTGAATTCCATGTGAGCGGCGCATATGTAAGGTGACGAGTGCTTATACGCCGCCGAATTATTTGTTTTCTCTGTTTTATCACTTTTCCTTAATTATTTTCCCTTCTATCTTTACTGTTACATGCTCTAAATGCTTTCCATGCTTAATTGCTACGTGTTAATCAATATTTTCTTCTGTTAACCATGTTAGCTCTTTTCACTCTTTCCCTTATTCCCTGCTATTTTTTTAATTCGACTTGTTTGTACCTTCTAACTATAAATTGTTGGTTTGGTCTCGGTGTGTAGTATTATTTGTGTAGATTCTATATTGAACAAGGTTCTTTTTCTTGGTTCAGTTTGACATTCATTTATCGTAAAGGCCTTGTGATTTAGCCGGTTGATTTGATTGTGTACATTGACTGTTTGACACTAATATGGTGGCATCGGGTTGCATGCCGCAACAGGTTGTAATAAAGGAGGATTGATATGGTAGAATAAGGATGAATATGTATGCACAGTGAGATCGGGTTGCACGCCACAATAGGTGAAATACGGGTGGATTGATATGGTAAAATAAGGGTGAATTATGATATTGATATTGATATATGGTGGGATTGGATTGCGCGCCGCAACAAACACACACACACACACACACACATATATATATATATATATTATTTACTGTTATTGATATTTTTATGGTAGAATAAGGGAGGATTATGCGTTGTCTTGTGGGATCAGGTTGCGCGCCGCAACAACCTATATGTTTCTACTTCTTGAGCTACGTTGTTTTTCGGTATTTTTATTTGAGCTGGTAGAAATTGGTAATTTTGGACGACACTGGTTTATTTTTGAGGCTGTGGTTATCATTTTTTTTGGTTGTTTAATTCTATACCGTATTTTAATTATTCTGTCATTATTATAGACTACGTACAGGTTTTAGCGTAGGTGACCCACCTTAGCCTCGTCACTACTTTGTTGAGGTTGGGATCGGCACTTACCAGTACATGGAGTCGGTTGTGCTGATACTGCACTCTGCACACTGTGTAGATTTTTGAGACGGTCCCAACGGAGGTTACTAGCGAGCTCGGTTCGGACATTTACGGAGACTTGAGGTACGACTGTTCAGCTCCTGCAGCTCCTAGAGTCTCCATCCTCTTTTCTTTTAGCTGTACAACTTCATTCAGACAACTTTGTACTTATTTCAAACCTTTATGTGTATTACTTTAAAAGCTCGTGCACTTGTGACACCAGGTTCAGTGAATTGTAATAGACGTTGGTTGTTTAGCTTCCACGTTTATACTTAGAACTTATCTGTTATTTCAGTTCATTATTATTGTTATCGTTTAAGCTGCTAAAAAAGTAAATTGTTCTAACATTGGCTTGCCTAGCATGTAAAATGTTAGGCGCCATTTCGATCCTGACGGTGGAATTTTCGGGTCGTGACATCAAACGGCTATAATGTGTAGTTTTCCCGTGCAGCAACTCACCTATTTCCTCTAATTCCTCCCGACATTGACACTGGTAATTTGGAATGCTTAATTTAACTCCAACTAAATTTCCATATTTATTATTGGAAATTATAAGTTAATAAATTTTTGGAAATACCAATACTATTGTTGGCATTATTTATTCTTTTAATTAATAAAAGTTGCTAACATATTAGTTGGACAAAAATATACTCTTGATGAGATTTAAGACCTAGGACCTTGTCACAAGGTTTCAATTTTAACCTCTACGATGCCCTAATTGATAATTATTTATAAGTTTGTAAAAAATGTGTTTTTGCTAAATTGAAAATATCTCGGGAGGTAGGTTTTGTATGGGTCAAAGTCTGATCAAAGAAATTCTATTTAAGGCAGAGCAACCAAGAAGCAACTAAGCCGAAGTCGCGTGTAGGAAGTGATATGCCGGCAAGTGATTTAGCTACGGTCGAGGTCGGGCACTCGAAGGGCCAGTTCAACCCGGGTTAAAGACCTCTGGGTAAGGAAAGTGTTTGATATAAATATCATGAGAAAATGTGATATAAGGGAGAGAAGCACATACACATACAACAACATATACATCCCTAAAAAGAAAAAGATGCTCCAGAACCTCAGGCTCCTGACCGAGAAAAGAGACGAGAGTTTAGAATCTCGATATGCATCTTTAATTCTATTTTACAAAATGGACGGAGGGAGGTCTTGTTTGAGCATGGTGATTCTTTTTCTTTATGTATTCATCATTATCATATGATATTATTGCAGCAATTATCTATTTTTTACATTGTGAGAATCAATCGCTGCTGTAATCAAAATTTATGTTTAGTTGTGCTTTTTCATTCCTATCATTTATCTCAGATCTGAAATTAATTATCTCTGGCTAAAAATTGCCCCAAATCTTTTTATTAAATTGGTTTAACTAAAAGGGACCTAATGCTTTTTAGGCAAACAACTTGGCAATGTCCGTGGGGAATTTTGTAGCCAAAATTTTAGTTTTCTATAGATCTAATGTCGGTCAGAGTTCCACTTCTCGACTGTCATAGTCTCGCCCTCTCATTACAAACACCAACTTGAGAAATTTGTAGACAAGCTTTTGAAATAGCCGAACCAACCAAGGTCAAATCATTGCATGAAATCGAAATTATATTTGATATCTATACGAAAGCCACATCTTACTGTAGTGATAGGTTTGGTACGAGTTGTCAAAGTAGGATTATGGACACTACACATTGAGCACGTCCATAATCCTACTGGCTATACTTACGTTATATACTAATCTATACTTTATGCATGCTTCCCCTATCTTAGGAAGAGACGATAGCCTATTGTGTAATTTTTTGAAATAACAAGTTTGCTCTGCCCGTATATACGGAGTATAGCTTATGTTTCCCTAATTCTTGTGCACCTGTGACTAGATTGGGCTTGGAGTCGAACTCGAGATCCCAACGGGCAAAATAAGTTATCAGCCCATAAGATGCCTAGACTCGACTAACGGCGTGAGATCAAATCTAAAGCCAACATTCAAGTACGGGGTGAATTGAATCATTCTACAACACCCCTCTCCCCACGCCAACCAATCAGGTCAAGGTAACAACCGATTTCGTTTGGGTTTAACTTGTTATTTTTCTTTTAGATGGGGATAGGAACAAGAACATTATCCTAGATGCACGAACAAGGAACAAACACTCTCAAAATAACGCACCAGGAAAATATTCCGTACCAGATCATCCTGCAGGCAACGGTCGAGTAAAATTCTCCCCCCCCCACAAGTTGATGCTTAACGCCACAAAGGGAAAAATCTATATAGACTGGGACTGGGTCACCGGCCCGGAAAATATACAAATCTCTCCAAAAGGTTGGTGCTTAATGCCATAAAGGGAAAGACCTGTGTAGACTGGGGACCGGGTCACCGGCCCGAAAAACATACGAATCTCTCCAACATGCAGATAGAACACAAGTGCGTAAAACTCACGTACACGCTTGCCAAAGCAACTATGCAACAGTACAACTAGCTAAATTTCAATCTCGTCTGTACATTACGACATCTCGAAGCTTGAGCAAAATATTCATCGCCTCTCCTATCGACTACTTCTCTAGGCCGAGCGATGAAGGGACTAGACAGACTGGGACTCCTCGAATGTACGCACAGATCAAATAGAAACATGTAATATTCTTCAATGAATAAATAAAGCAGTATGACATTCCTACACGATACCAAATGTACACAACCACGCCAACCTAAAGGGAAATATACATTCAGTCTCACTTGAACTATTTTTTAAGACAAAATTCAACCTCGCTCGAATTAGCAGGTCAAATATGATCTCGCTCGAATTAACAAGACAAAATTCGACAGAGGTCGAATTAGCAGGTCAAATCTGACATTGCTCCAATTAACAAGATAAAATTAGGCCTCGCTCGAATTAGCATGTCAAATCTGACTTCGCTCGAGTTAACTACCAAAAGTCAGGGACTTATTACGAGAAAGTCCAAGAAATTTGAAAAGAAAAAAGAAGGAAAGGGAAAAGGCATACAATCAAGGACAAACCAACTATTTTATTTAAAGAAAAAATAGCGTTTTACAAAGGACCAAAAAAGGGGCCCCCACACAACCAACTAAGTAAAACAAACTAAGTACATGAGGAAATATTAAATACAAGAGCTTCATTCTGTATTATCCCCGTACACGCCGTCATCTCTCTCTCTGCTTGGTTCTGTAGCTTCACCTCCACCATCACCCTCTCCATCAGAATGTTCCTCATCAAAGGCAAGCCCGTCCTCGGCCTCATCAACTCCACCGGCCTCCGGTGTTGCGGGACCATAACCATAAGCAAGCCGAGCTTCACTTGCTTTAGCTCGATCCTCTTTGAAAGCGACCTCAGAGACATTCCCCGCTGCCAACAAGCCCTTATATATATCCCGCTGGGCCTCAACGTGAACCTATATCTCGTACAAAGGGTGAGGAATGTCAACCGAGGTAGGTGTATGATGAGTCGAAGCCAACAATTGCTCCTTCTCCACCTCAAGAACAGTAACTCGATCACCCAGGCTCGAGACGACCCTCTCAAGCTCGCCAATCTGCTCATCAAGCCGCGCCACCCTCATAACGGCCATCTCCATCTCAGTGGCACGTTCAGACTTGAGAACGCGGATAGTACCTTCCAACGTCGCATCCTTTGCCAAGGATGCTACTTGGGCTCTTTAAACTCTCTCCAGCTTGGTCACCTTCCCTTTTAATTCAGTCACCTTCTCCGAAAATTCAACACTTAAACCGGTGACCCTAATGTCACTCTGCTCAAGCTCTGCCCCCAGGGCCACTACCTTCGCCTGAAGGTAAACACACTCAGCAGCAACACCCTTTCCCACCTCGATCTCTTCTTCCTTAGCGCCAAGCAGCCCCTCGAGTTCGTTGCATCTGCTCATGGACTGCATTATATTGTTGTCCTTCCATTCCAACTCCTCCTGAAGGGACTGAGGATTTCTGCCCTCCTTAAGTCGTGCATGCATCTCACGACACTTGTCACAGAATCGGTAGTATTTTGAAACCATTTTCTAAAAATTGGTAGCCCGCCTCTCCTCGCGGCGGATACTCTCCGTCTCCAAAATAAAGGTCTGAATAAAGCCTTTCCGGCTATGCCCCGTGATAGGCTAGCATTACTGATCTCCTGAAGGGACCTACTTTTAGTAGCGGAACAAAGAAGGGCAAATTGAGGCACCAGGCTCACCGTGTCCTCTAACAAGTCACACTCGAGGGCAATCTCGATCACGCGGGAGGAATCATCTATCCTTGCATCCACCCGAGTGAATCTCTCCTTAAACATGCTTATGTCCTCGGGGTCAATATTCGAACCGGATTCGTAGTCATCTACTACTATGCACTTTTCCCTCTCACTTGCTGATGGGGTCCAGGCATACACTACTATTGAGTAACAAGGATGGTCGATTCTGTTTTACCCAACTAGGTCGGGATCGAATCCACATGGAATTAATTTGTTTGGAGTTAGGTTTATATCTAAGTCTAAATGCGGGTTTTCCTCTTAATTGAACTTCCACAAATGTTTGGTTTGTTTTCTACTTCTACTTCTATTCTATAGTATGCAATATTTGAAACTAAGTATAATGTTATTCTTGTTGATTTTCAAGGGTTTAAAGGGACTAGGGTAGTGACTTCCACCTAGGTGGATATCTAACAGATAACAAGAATCTAGGGAAATCACATGATTAATTGGGGTCATAATATAGCTATCACACCATGGTACCCACTCTATACCTCTCAGTAGTTTGAGTGATTTTTCCCAATTTGGCTTTTTCAAGTCCAAATGAGTATTCATGCAATTCAAGTGATTTTAGCTCAAGTTGGGTATTACTATCTCTAGGTTTAGCCCTTTAATTGTGGCTATCAATTTCTTAAGTTCACCCCAATTCCTTGTTAGCCTAGTTTTTCTAGACTTAGTCCCTCTTTCTCAAGTAGAGACTAAGTCATAAAGACATAAATCAGTGTTTGCAACCACTAATTCAATAGTTCTAGCAAGAACTAGGCTAAATATCACTGACTCATACACATTCAAGCCTTAAAATCAAGACCCATAAAATACCCACACTAGGGTTGGGTCACAACCCTAGCTATGGGTTTAGCTACTCATTGAAATAATAGAAAACAAAGATGAAATAAAGATAAAATCCATAATACTAGATTAAAAGATGAAAATCTAATGTTGAGAGATAATTCTAGTACAAAATTTGCCAAATTGGAATTTGCGGCCATCTCACGTGTTCAGCAAAAACATAACTTAACCAATCAACAAGATGTATTTATTCTAAACTGAAATTTCTGGACAAAAATACCCATGCGGAAGTTTTGCGGCCGCG